CTTTTCTTCTTCCAACACATTATGTTTGCTCTGAGAAGATCGATTTTGCCTGAATTTTTTCTTCCTAAAGAGCAGCTGATTTTTCATGTTAAAAATGTGCTTCTCTTCATTTGCATTGTGGTAACATAAGAGTTTGTGTTGTGTATACATGTAAATACAGGACTAAAAAATCTTAAATTTACTTACAGAAACCCTTGGGTACATTTATGTTAATGAAATGTATGTTATACAGTGGCATCTCGGTTCATGAACCTGATTCTTTCCACAATTCTGGTTGCAACTGAGTTGATTAAGAATCAAATCAAATTCAGTGGTTAGGTTCAGTGTTGACCTTATGGGGAAATTTGATTGGGTTCTCATCCAGTTTGGTCTGTGACCCAGAATCATAGCAAGAGTTGAGTTTGTGGACCAAGGTACCACTGTATTTTCATATGGAGTTTCTAAGAAACATTGTTTTATATAATGTAAATAAACTTACCTAATTTAATTCTTTGCCCAAGTTTGAATTTTCTCATTAGATGTTTACTTGGGACTTAAAATTCTGTAATACATTTGGTAATTGTTAGCAATACTGTGTATGTTAATAATGTATAGGAAATTCATTTATACTTTCTAAATTTCCCTTACTAGAAAGTTTCATCTTCCAAATTTAAGTGGCTTATACCTAGAAAATTTTCATACCTATTTTAAAACATGCACCTGCATTCTCTCAGCTGTTAGTTTATCTATCTTCAAACCACGTCTCAAGCTGCCATTTTATAATAACTTTCTAAAAGCAAAATAAAATCAAATAAATATGCCACCATAAGTAGGTGGAGAAGTTTTGGTTGAAACTTGATTTTTTTTTCCATTTTGGGGGAAATATGTAAACATTGATTTCATTCAAAATAAAAATTTAAAAAATGATAGACAAAAGAACTACCTCTTCCAAAAATGGAAATTACAGGCCTTATTTAGCTTTTTCCTAGGTGAAAAAGTTATTTAAACCAGAATCTTAAAGAATTTTGGCTAAAAGTGCTCCCACCACCATCAAGCGGCAAGTCCTACATTAGCAGGTTAGAAACAGAAGCTGGAAGGTGAATACAGGCTGGAGTTTGCATAGTACCTGTGGAAGGCCAGACTGACATCTGAACCTGAGCTCCTGTGACACTGGGCTGCCTCCTGCCTCTTGCTTTTGGAATGTGGTAATCACTAATATTTATTGAGCGTTTAAAAGTGCCAGACCTTTTCACTCACAGCAACTCTGTGAAGCAGATATGATTGTCCCCACTTTACAGTTGAGGAAATAAGTGACAGACATGAATAGTTTCTATAGTTACAGTGAAAAGTAGAAATTTTTAGCTAGTATCTGTCTTCTTGTTTTTCATCAACTTATTTAGAAGATTATGGCAATATTCCATAACTTAAAAATTTTTATATGGGAATTACTGTTGGCATTGAATTGTTTATTATATATTATATATTATATATCATTATCTAACTCCTAATTGGTCTTCCAACTTTTAACTTTACTGCCCTTCAGTTTGTTCTTCATTCTACCTATTGGAGTAAAGTTAGCTTCAAAAACATGTCAGTTCCTGCCACTTTGCTGCTATGATACTCTGTGGCTGATGCCAGTATTAATCAAACCAAAAGGCCAGCTTTCTACAGGATTGCAGAGCAGGGCTTTGAGCCCATCCACTGTTGGGTGGTAACAGCTTTGTGTGCCAGAGGGAATGCTTGTCATCAAGAAACAGTGACCTGGGCCGGGAATTTAGCTCAGTGGGGCCACCGCCTACCTCGCAAGCATTCTGAATTTGATCCCCTGGTACGGAAAAAAAAAAGAAAAAGAAACAGTGACCAGTGGGAAAGGCAAATGATACAAACAGACTGCCGTAGAAAGAACCCAAAGAGCTATTAAACAGTGTTCATGTTTACTGTTGATAAGAAAGATACACAGAGTAAAACACAACCACGTTTGTTCCTTTTTTGTGAGAATCTTTTTGGTTTATGTCTTGTTTCTGAGTAACTACTTTGAAAATAACAGTACATGGTATAATAATTATTGTTATTCTTGTACTACTTGATTATGAAGTTTTCTTTTATTTTTTCATAAAATAAAAAAATTATAAATACCTGTGAAAGGATTCACTGAAGCACCATTTGCCTTTGGCTGGGGAACTCCAACAGGAGATGGGGGTGGAAGGGCTGCTTCCCATAATGCACTCTTTTAACTTTTTGGAACATATAAAACACAGTTACCCAAGAATTGAGGTGATCCAGATGCCATGTATTTAAATAAAACAGACACAGAAATAAAAACCAGCTTGTTCATTCTAGCTAGAAGCTAAATTTGAATATGTGGGGTATTCAAGAGTTAAAGGATATTCTTGGCAGCTTACAAAGCAGAAAATTCCTGGGGTTATTGACGTACTTCTGGAATCCCAGCTCTTAGGAGTCTGAGGAGGGTTGCCGCCAATTCGAAGCCAGCCTGGGCTACATAATGAGTTCAGGTCCAACCTGAAATACTAGCAAGACCCTGTATCAAAACACACAAAAAAACCCAGAAAATTACCGTCATCATCTCTTTTGTATTACACAGTATTTTTTGATGTGTTCTTTCAGTTGATCTTTATAGGAAGCTCATCTTTCAGATGAGGGAACCGAAGCTCAAAGAAATTATGATTGCCTGAGATAACATAGTTAACCAGATTTATTTGTGTACAGCAGTATATTTATATTTACTCACACATCTGTCTCCCCTATTTGATTCTGAGCTGGTGACACTAGACTATAGTCCAAGCCTTCTACTCCCAACCTAGTGCTGTCAGATGGTGATGGCCAAGTCAGAACACAGGGGAATTGTGTCACCTTCCCCATTTGTGGTTTTAGGGAACACAGGGAAAGGGATGAGTCTTATAAAAAATAGAAAACAGTATTGAAAGAAGCTTCTATAAGTGGAATCATTGGAAGATAAACAGAAAGAAAATTAGTTTTCCAGTTTTAATTTCTTTGTGAAGAGGCAGATTCCATGATTCCTAGGACTTTATCCCTAAGTTATAGATTTAATGTTGTGACACATTCCCTTTTTATTGTTGTTGGTTTATTTGTTTTTGCAGTGCTGGTGATGGAACTCAGGGCCTTAGGCATGCTAGGCAAATACTTTACCTCTGAGCTACGTTCCCAGCCCTCAGTTTGAACTGATTTTCAGATGCTTTTAAAGCCTTTACACAAACTTTATTTTCTGCAGAGTGCCAATGATAAAAATGTCAAATGGCATGTTTTTTTAAGGACTGAATAAATAGTCATAAAATAAAGATGTAACTTAACCCAGGTTAGAATTCACTTGAACAAACCTTAAGCCTCCAGAATGTGTTCCAGAAACAAGGAACGGAGGTGGGATATCATCAGAGTTCTGAGTCCTTATGTTCACGTAGACACCTTGATGGTAGAAGTGAAATTGAATGCTAATAGAACCTGTGATGCTGTCCTTGTCTAATGAACAAAAAAGCAGTCGTTACGGGGTGGTGGGCAAGATACACATTCACACAACATCTATGTAGAATTGAAACACTTCTTTATTAAACAAGACTCTATCTGAAACTCGAGAATTTTATAGTAAAGCTCAGATAAATATGTAACATTTTAAGATGCAGTCATTTATACTAATTCTAGTGCCCTGATTTCTGTTTGTTTTCAGATTAGAAAAAGCAAACATTTTCTATGATATTTGTATCTAGGAGCTGTCAACTGAGCCCAACTTCATGAGATTATCTTTATAAATATATTAAATAGGATAATAAGAAATGACTCTGCTTTTATGTGTCTTTAAACAGAAGCAGTGTTAAAAGACCTCTTCTTGCTAAAAAGTTAGCCCTGGTCTTTGTAAACACAGTGTATCATATCCTCCCAAGTTTATGTGAACCTTGGATCTAGGAGTTACCTCATATTATGCTGCTACAAGAGACTTTTTTGAAAGCTGCTGCCCTAGGTTCTCAAGAGCAGGCAGTGATCTGCCTCTTGCAGGCCAGCCAGAGCCTTTCCTTGGTGAAGCAGGGACAAGTTCTTGGTTCTGTTCTTTCTTTCTCAGACTGCTCTGTTGGTGTGCTGTTTGGATAATACTAGCTTCTTTTTAGATCTGTGTCTTGATTTTAGCACTCTGTCACTCTGTGTACTCACTTAATATATTGGTTTCAGCTACTGATAAATGGATGTACCTGTTATTATAGATCTCCATAAAATGTATTTTTTTATCCGTACAAGTACGTACTATGTGTGCTAAGCAAATACTCACATGTGTATGAAGAATTTAATGTCCACTCATCCAAAAAAAAAAAAAAAACAGGTTTGAAATTTACTGTCTCCCACATACCCTGAAAGAAATTTCTGAAAGGAACACTGGGGTAAGCAGAAGTGCCACATATGAAGTGGGGAAGATGACAGGCAGAGCAAGTTGGAGGAACAAGTCAGGCTCTGGTACAATACAGGAGCCTTGTATACATGGGACCCTGCAATGGGTCCCTAAAAACCTGCTAGGGAGGGTGTGAATTAGTGCCTCACATGTTGACAAACTATTCAGGAATCCGGATGAATAGCCCTTGCCTTAGAAACTCAGAGGGAAGGAGACAGCTCTGTACACTGGAAACTGAGTGCCATTGGTGTGAAAAGGTTGGCATATTAGGGGCCAGAGACCTGGTGAGAATGGAGGTTCTCAGCTGTTACTGTTGCTTTTTTATAGGGGCCTTTTCTACAAGAATGGATATGGTAACTTGCCTTTCTGTCCCTTTTCCTTTCTCTAGGTGAAGTTCATCTTCTACTGGGTACCAGGAACTCTGAGGACTAGGGTGTCTCTGTGGTACTCTCCTGCATCCCCATCTGGGTTTGAAATGTCTTTGTATATTTTCTTAGGGAACTCTCACAATATCAGTCTTCTCCCTAGCCACCTTCCACATAATCCTGTCTTTGTATTCAGAGGTTATGAAACACCTGTATTCACATATTTTTATTTATCTTCCACTTAGGTTTTATGGCAGGCACGCAAAGAAATCCTCAGATGTCTCAGTATGGGCCTCAACAGACAGGACCATCCATGTCACCTCATCCTTCTCCTGGGGGCCAGATGCATCCTGGAATGAGTAGCTTTCAGCAGAGTAACTCAAGTGGGACCTATGGTCCACAGATGAGCCAGTATGGACCACAAGGTAAAAACATATGTTCTCCAGAATGCATTGGCAATGGGTGGAGGACATTGTGCTGATTTGCTAGTCCTTCAAGGGTTTCACATTAGAAATGCATTTTAAACTTCCCATATTTGTTACCTGATAGAGTAGGAGAGTAATGCAAACCCACAGTTATTCAGATGCCCATAACGAGGAAGAGAATCATTATAGCCACTGTTTCTTAAGCATTTATGCATTAGACAGTGAGGAGCACTCGTATTATTGAACTCATCTCGACAATGTAGTTCAAGATGTTTGTGGACAAAAAAACCACAATCCTTGTCCTCAGATTTCTAATTTAAAACTTGAATTTGTTGTGTGGAATTTGAATTTCAGCCCACCTCAGTAACCTCCAGTGGGACTTGAGCTGCTGGTTCAAGAGGGTGTCACCCTGTGCAGCATCAGGTGGACAGCAGCTGTCACTGCCCCAGTCACCACTGTCCCACTCTTAGAAAACAGGACAGTGTCTGATGCAGATACATCCTTCTCCAACAGGAAGAGGAGGGAAGAGTAAGAAAATGAGTGGAGCCATGCCCCAAATGTCCTGTTTATGTCCTGCCTTCCTAGAAGCTGTTGTAGGTTTTGTCAGATACTCATATCATCTTTTCACCAAGGCTTTTAACCTGATACATATTTTTTGAAGTAATTTTTAGCAGTAGATCATTTGAATTTAGCACCTTCTTTATATTTTGTTTAAGGCTAAAATCAGTGTCCTGGTTCTTCCCATGTTCAAATCCAACATAACCACCCACCTGGTGACAGGAAGTGACACGTGCTACACAGATTGTTTAGCTTAAGAAATGTTCTTATCTTTGCATTTCTGCTGCATTTCTTTGCATTCCTTTTAAATAGCAATCCAAATGACATTTTTTTCTTTCTCCTCTTAACTACGAAATTTTTAGTAAAACAGTCAGCTTGCATCTCCACATTACTATAAGTTTTGAGTCTCTGGAAAGATGAACTTGTGTGGAAGACAAGAGATCATTAGTCTCCTCTGTTGTCAATTGGATGACATTTTTGTAGGATTATATATTACTTGTTTTAAGAGATCTCAGGGAATGTATTATAGAACTTCTTGGGTAACCATTTTATCACCAGGAGCATCTTCTTCAAAATTGTCAATAATAAGCAGCATTTATTAAATACATCGCTTTCTGGGGTCCTGTTCTAAGCATTTTTCACATATAAACCTCTTGTCTTCACCACTTGCTATGAGATAGGTGCAGTTACTGCTTCACTTCACAGAGGAAGAAACTGCGGTGCCAAAACAGGCGAATGCTTTATCCAGGGTACACAGTGACTGACAGGGTTCAGCCCAATTCACTTCAGGCTATGGGACTCATTCTCTTGATACATAGAAAGCCTTGAGAAGTTAAGTCCTTTACCCATGATCCCACAGGCAAGAAGTGGCAGGACCAGGGTTCAAACAAAGGGCCACTGACCTCAAAAGCTGCTTACTCAGTCACAGGTTGACCATCCTCAGGCTTAATAGTACTTCCTTCTTGCTGTCCCTATATTCACTGAGCCAGTAGAAAAACAGAAGCCAGAGGACTGCTGAATTTGTTGTGTGGGATTTCAAATGCTCTTCAAGGAGCATTTTAGGAATATAGGCATGGAAATGAATCAGAAACACGAATGTAATTAAGAGAATTACTACCAAGTAAAGAATGGGAAAATGTTATATGTGTGTGTGGTGTGTGTGTGTATGTGTGTGTATGTATATAGTTAAATATATTTTATAGCTATAAAATCTGAATAATTAAATTTACAAATAAGGTGAAACCAGGCTAACTGTAAAAATGTTTAATTACAGTGTATTTTATGAAATAGTTTTCTACCTTCAGGAATCACATTGTAATAACTACCCTTGCAAAGACTTTCCAAGTAGAGAGGGCCATAGGGAGTCTTTAATAGAAAGCAATTGTGTAATTAATGTTAACTATTAATAAATAAATTTATATGTGAAAAGAAGTTACTTGTTGAATCACATTTCACAAATCTTTACGGGGGTTCCCAGGTGGCCTTCAGGAGGCTTCCTCAGACATTAGTTAAGCAAGGAAGATAGAGAATGTCTTTTTTCTTCCTCCAGGGCCTTCCTCACTGCAGTTGAAAGGCTGTATGCCTCGGCACCCGGGCACCTGGAGCTCCTGCAGGGTGTTGTGATAGTGGGAACTTCAACTCATAGACTCCTTCCTTTCTCACCATAGAGACTTTGCTGTTTTATGCTAAAGTACAGTACAGTAGTTAGTTATTAAAAGGTTTGTCTCCACAGCAGCCACATGATACATAATCTTGATGAGAAAACTGAGCTTTATGGCAAGTAGCTTTCTAAAGGCTGTGTATACAGAACCATTTCTGCTGTTACGTCAGATATTAGCATCTGGTTGTGCTCATGTGTCCCTGGGTCTGTGTCCAGCATTAGCCTTGATGATCATTTCTCTGAAGATCCACTGCTTCTTCCAGGAGAGGCAGGGAAACACACACAGCACTCTTGCCCACAGTGGCTCCCCTCTATTACTCGAACTACCACCACTCTAGAATTGTTACTGCTTTATTTCTCTTCATCATTTTTAGCACCTTGGGACCTTATCTGTATTTATTTTTCTGTCTCTGCCACCAGAGTGTAGGCTCTCTCTGTTCCTGTTCACTACTGAATACCAAGCATTTAATATAGACCCTGGCTTATAAGAAGCTCTTAATAATGATTTCTTTTTTGGCAGGGGGGGTGGGCAGGGATCGAACCCGGGTCCTTGTGCTTGTGCAGCAGGCGACGAAACCACTAAGCTAAATCCCTGGCCCTTAATAATGATTTCTTAAATGAATGAATTTTGCTAAGATACCGACATGACATGCCTTCTGGCCCCTGCCTGGATGCTCAGTGGGCTGACAATCAGTGCCCACAAATAATTTACAATACATGGTGTCTCATCCCTGGGAAGTGAAACTGAGGCTAGTTTTTGTCAGTTTCTATGGGTCTACATTTTCCTGCATTGAGCTTGCATTACTAAGTAGTCAAATTTTATAGGAGTTAATTGTTGAAACATGTATGCAAAAAACTACAAAAAGTGAAACAATGAAGTGATACCCTAAGGTAATAATTATCTTTTACACATTTCATGTAATATGGTTATCATTTTTACAGTTTAAACATTTAAAATCATGTTAATGTAGGAAAAATACAATGCTTTGTATATTGATTCAAAAAACAAATTATTTGTTCCCACAAATAGTAGGATTTAGTGTAACTTGGGCTAAGTCAACTTTCATTTTAAAACTATTTGTAATCTTCTTAACTTACTTGGTCAATTTCCCTGAATAAAAGAGTAGCATTGCATGATAGTTCTGAGTACAAAGAATCAGAAGTTTTTAAAATAGAACTTTTTTCAAGTTAAAGTACAGTAACCAGCAAATAAAATTACTGAAAAAAATAATTTGTCATTACAGAAGTGAAAATTAAAGCCAGTTATTTCTATTACATGCTTATTAGAATGACTAAATTTTTTAACCTTTGACCATATCAAGTCCTGATAATTAGAACTCTTACGCAGTGTTTGGAAGAAATGTACACAAAATAACACAGCAATAGTTTGCCAGTTTCTTATAAACTTAAATGTACACTTACCATACAGTCCCCCCATCTCATTTCTAAGGTTTTACCGACAGTAATTTTATACACAAAGACTTGTCATAAATGTTTTTAGCAGCTCAGAAACTGGAAAGTGTCCATAGAATGGAATACTACTAATCAGTAAAAGGGAAACTACTAATACATGCAACAATGCACAAGTTCTGAAGCATGATGCTAAGTGAAAGAAACCAGACATCTGAGGTTGTCCTGTGAGACTATACGATATTGCAGAGAGGGAAAACTACAGTAGGAAAAATCAGACCAGTGGTTTGCAAGGCCCGAGTGTGGATATATGATTGACTACAGAAGGGCAAAAGGGAACTTGTTGTTATAGTAGAAATATTAGGAATCTTGATTGTGCTGGTGCTTTGCTTTAATTGCATATGTTTGTTTTTGTGTGTAAATAATATTAATAAATGTGACTTCATATCATGTAGTGGACTGCTATAAAAATGGTAAATATTGTTGGCTAAAAAGCAGTGCATGTTTAGCCCTAATTCACAAATACACTTATCATAGTATATAACTGCATATTTTTTTACCCAGGGTTGTCTGTCTAGTTTATGAAGCATTCACCTCAGAGGTGAATGATGTAGAACCTTGCTTATAGTAGTCATCCGTAAGTAATTGTTGAATGGTTGAACCTAAGAAGGAAAATTTCATGTGTGAGTAGAAACAGTATTTTAATAAAAGCAGTAAGCTTGCTGCATTGAGTATGACTACCAAATTTAAACGTTCTAGAGTCAGATGCAAAATTATTTGCAATTCTTCTAAAATAATGGTGGCAACTTGAATAATCTAACTGCTGATTTTAATATCTGATGCTTGACTATAACTCCTGTTTGGTTGAAATCTGAACTCATTTGGTGACCAATTTTCCAAAGCTAGCATGCCAAGATGAACCCACTTGAAAACTGTGGGCTCTAGGACTTGGCTGGAAGACCAGTCCAGCTGAGGTGGGCTGGCCCAGCATCTGCTGCCTTCATTGTGCTTAATGCTGCATCCATCTGTTTTCTGTCAAAGCTAGTGCCAACAAATTACTAATCTATTAGCAAAACATGGAAAAAGGATTGCACTTCTCCTTCCTGGCTTTTCCTCTTCCTTTCCTTGGCTTACATATTTAGTTTCTGTTTATTTTGGGGAGAAAGATATGCTATTGGGTATGTGTGTGGGGGTGAATTATATTTTGCCCCACCCACACGTCTTTAAAGGAAAGTGGGGAAAGATCATTTTGTTTCAATGGTGGATGACGATGAGGGCAGCTGTCATTCATTAGGGAGCTCTGCCTGGCACTACACTCATCACTTTACCTGCTCCCTGTTAACATCACCACTTTCCAGATGACAGTACCACTGTGCAGAGAGGTTAAATAATTTGTGAAGGTCGTGTACCAGAAAGTATCAGAACAAGTGCTCAGATCCCAGTTCTAAAGCCTGTGCTTCTTCCCTTGCCACCTTGGCAGCCATTTGGAGCCTTTAGTATGTATTTTTATCCAGGTATGTGAGTTTAGTGATGAACATCTTAGAAGTTCAAGGAAAAGAAAGGGGAACTTTGTACTTACTCTCCCAGATCAAAGCCTCCATAATTAGAACACTTCCCTAAATGTGTGCTTTTGTGTCAACCAAACTGATGAGAGAAAAGTAGCTGTGAGCCAGGTGCTGCAAAGTGCACACACAAGCCTTGTGTGGGCGGTAGTTGTGCTCCATGCCGGGGCTGGCGGTTAGAGTGCTTCTTGCTAAGAAACAGAGCCTGGCTGCCCAGCCAGCCCAGCTGTGGAAAACAGCTGAGCTCCTTAGTCTACATTAGGAATGAGAGCTAGGATAGGGTGGAGGGCCATTAGGCTTCTTAGTAACTTTTCTCCGTGTTCCTTAAGATACAGCCCTAAACTGCCATTAAGACCTGAGATTTGAGAACTCGGTGGAACAGCATTTCTTCGCTCTAACTATAAGCAGAGCTCAATAAGATCAAGCCTTCTTTCTCTAATAAAACCACATTATTAGTATAGCTTGCAATAGCTGTGTCCAAATGCTTGTTTTCTAAAATCAGATTAAAGTGTTAGTTCATTTCCTTCGAAAGCAAAGGACACATATGTTTTCACTGCTTACCATATGAATCACTTATCAAGCATTGGGGAGAGTGGAAAGCAGCCCCTAAGTAATAGCATGAATATGTGTGTTAATTACTTGTACATTCAAGCACTGAACCAGTATATTCATTTTAATAAAAGTAAAAGGCAAAGAGGAGCACTATATTTCACTGATCTTATCAGGTAATCTGGAGGTGAGGTACTCTGAGAATAGGGAGGAAGATAAGTCTGAATTCCTGCTCAAAGAGAAGAGCATAGGAACAGGGCAGCCCACAGGCTTGCATGTATCCTACAGGATGGGAGACTCTGAAGCACCTTTAAAACTTTCTGTGAGGAACTTGGAAATTGATTGTAACTTACTACTTATAAACAGTGTAAGCTTATTTCTGGATAGCCTGACTTTGAAAAGCAGTTTATTTTTGCAAAGCAGCAGGTTCAGTGTAAGGAGCTGCCACCAACCTGACTCCTGTGTAGTTGGGGCCCTGAAGTAACTATGCCCAGCCCTGCCTGCTCCTGTCCTCTATACCCAGCATCTCCCTCTATTACTAACTCCCTAGATCTGCTTGTTACCTCCCTTGGAGAATCCTCCTCAACTTTCCTTTAGCCTCCAAATGGTGTTGGGCTTAAAGACACTGCTGGCTTGAGCAAGGTCCACTTTCTGTTGCTAGTATAGCAGTTTATTAGCACATCCCAAGATTGGTCCACATCAAGGGTCAGCTAATCATGGTGCACGTTAGCCCACTACCTGTTATTGTAGATAAACTTTTGTTGGAACCTTCCCATGTGGATGCTGTAGGGCTACCATGGGGAACTGAAAAGTTGTTAAAAGTGACTTGGCCCACAAAGCCCAAAATACTATGTGGCCTTTGGCAGAAAAGTATCTTAACATGAGCATTGCCCTCCATATCTTCAGGAAGTAAAAAGAAATGCTTCTCACATGATATACCTAAAAAGAGCAGGCACCCAGTAAGTTGAAAAGTCTATTGAATTTCCTGCAGATTTGTTGGCAGTACTGCTGTATGTGTGTGAATTTAAGAAAAACTGATTTCACAGTCACAATAATATTATTACGTAAGTATGCTATTTCTTAGACATCAGAGAAGCTGGCGTATCAAAAGCATGGTGTTCTTAGACTTCAAGTGGCACTCACCTGCCTGGGTCCAATCTGGGCTCCTCCAGTTATTCACCATATGATCTGGGATCAAATTATTTACTATCCCTGTGCCTTAGCTCCTTACCTCCAACAGGAGGGTTACAATATCTTGTCCTCTTGTAAAAAATTGATGAGTTAATTCAAAGAATTTGGAACTAAGCCTCACACATAGTAAATATCAACTCACAACACCATGGAGTGTTCCCTGAGCCCCAGTCCCAATTAGATCTGCTCTTGGCTTGGTCTTTGTGCTTTTACTTTTGTATTTTTTTATCTTTACCCCTCCTACTCCAGCACACACATAAGTGCACACATGCACATGTACACACATAATACACATTGTGTGCTTCCAAAGTGCAGGAATCCGGGTGTGTTAACTTGTACCTGTGTCTGACCTATACCTAGAAAAGTTTCTGACATATGATGAGTGTGTACTTATGTTAGATGGATGAAGAGAGTCTTCCTAGAAGTAGTAAGATATGACTAAGAAACAGTAACACAAACTCTACAAATACTAGTCTTTTGGCATTTTGTTTGGTAAAATTTCAGCAGTCATTTATTGAAGGCACATGGTTTATCAGTTCAACACATAAGTTTCAGAGTCAGTTTGCTTGAGCTTCAGTCCAGTCTACCAGCTCTTGACTTTCCTCACTTACAAATGGTAGTATCTGTACTTCATATGGTTATTGGGTTAAATGAAAGAATTTATCAGGGCAGAGGACTTAGCTAGGTGTCTAGAAAGTACTATGGCTCAATAATTAATATTTGCTACTAGTATTATTAAAGTTCTATTATGTTTGCCTTTAATTTAATTTATATACATGCAGTTGGAATAAGAGATGTTTAGGAAAAAAGGAAAAAGCTACAGAAATTGTTGGCGCCATGCAGGTGCCATTCTCTTCCCTGAGTGTGCACCCTCTACAGGCAAGAGTGGGAAGTCAGTCATGACTTGGCATTTCAGCCTCTGCCCCTGCTTGTTTTCCCTCATGGCGCCATTTTGCTTTGCCCAGGGTCACACTAGTGTTTGGAATCTAAGATACAATACCAAGCACAAACCAGCCACTTTATCTGGAGCTCAAGCAAAATTTTTAAAAGGTAGTTCTGACATTGGAGAGAAATGGTATGGACTAATGTCAGGAGGCCCACACAACACCCTCCTCTGGGGTCTTGAAGGATAATTTTGGCCTTACATGGATGTATTCTGTAACAGTTGGAGGGAATGTGGTAGGCCTGTCTCACATTAGACTGGGAGATGAAATTACGATTTTGGTTCAAATGTAAGAATGTAAGGAGTTGAACATATTAAATCAACAGTCAGTTCTAGTATCCCACTGTAAAAATAGCCTACCTTTCCCCTCACCATTTCAGGGGTTCTTGTAGGTTTTTTGTCTTTGAGTTTACCCTCCTGGACCTTAGGATTGTGTGCAGAGAGCATGTTTAGAGACTGGTGTCCTCATCCACACCGACAGGAAGGGCTAGTAGATTATGACTAATACTCAGTGATGAGCACATTGTTGGACAAATAGTATTACCAGTGAATGCTTTCACAAATTTAAAGATTAAATAGAAGGCCTTAATTTGTGTTTGCTTTTTGTTTAGGTAACTACTCCAGACCCCCAACGTATAGTGGGGTGCCCAGTGCAAGCTACAGCGGCCCAGGGCCTGGGATGGGTATCAATGCCAACAACCAGATGCATGGACAAGGGCCAAGCCAGCCATGTGGTACTATGCCCTTGGGACGAATGCCGTCAGCTGGGATGCAGAACAGACCATTTCCTGGAAACATGAGCAGCGTGACCCCCAGTTCTCCTGGCATGTCTCAGCAGGGTGGGCCAGGAATGGGGCCACCAATGCCCACTGTGAACCGTAAGGCACAGGAGGCCGCTGCAGCCGTGATGCAGGCTGCTGCAAACTCAGCACAAAGCAGGTATGCCACTCAGGATCATGCTGGGCTGATGTTCTGTGTGTTGACATGTGATCACATAAGGAACAGGGGCTGCTTCATTTCCCTAGAGTGCACAAAAATAGCAAAATATACTTTTGCTTGGCTGTTGGTTTTTTGTTTTGTTTTGGCTTTTGTTTTGTATTTTGTGTTAAACATATTCTGTAATGTAAAGGTTAGAGAAGCATGTGACAACATGTTTTATGATCCATGGAGGAAGAAATCTGAGAAGTGGGCATGTCATTTTTGTGGGAGGGCCTAGAAATGTCTACGGATACTCATTGCAACCAGCAAAACAGATCTTGTGTAGGAAAGTGTCTGTGGTTCCATTTTTAAAAAATGAATTTGAAGCAGGAAACACCAAAGCCAAAAGCTATTTAAAATCTAAAGTACCAAAAAAGACACATGTTCTCATCTCCACTTTTTCTTAACCTTACCATAAGAATCCTTGTAAAATAGAAATTTTGACTGTGTACATATGTGTATTGTGTTTGATCTAAATGTATATGTGTAGGGTTTATATATTTCCTATTCCTTTGTTGTGTTTTACTTTTCTGGTCATACCTTTCCATCTGTCCAAATCAAAATATTATTAATAAAACAAAGATAATGTTTAAGGAACTTTAAGTTGGTAGAGCAAGGGTTAAGCTTCTGTTACTTGTTTTTCATCCTGATTCTAAATATTAATTCTTAAATACTTGGCTAAATAAAAAAAATTAGAAATTTGCAAGTCAAAGATGACTATATTTTAAAAGAAGCATGTGTAAATATATTTTTTAAAAAAGCACATAGAAAGTTGTACGTCGACATCATCAGAAGAAAAGATTCTAACTTTTGTCAAAGGAAAGTATAGTAAAAGCTAATTGTGTATGTGTGTGTATGTGTGTGTGTGTGTGTGTTTTCCAATGTGCCCCTTTGTTCCTTTTCCTCTGAAACTGCTATTTTGAGAAGGTAGGAACCTTCTCTGGTCTCATTGTTCACTCCAAATAACAATAAATTTCTCTTGAGGAACTAAAATAAAAATCTCTCTCTGTCTCTCTCTCACACACACACACACACACACACTCACACACTCACACACTCTTTCTCCTACCCTCTTCCCCTTTCCTTCTCTCCCCGCTCCCTCCCTTGCTTTTTCTCCTCCTACGTTACAGTCACTTAAAGTCTTCTGCACCCCAGCTTCTACCTTGCAGCAGAACCCATGTAGGCTCTAGGGAAGTGATGGGAAACCTTTTAGAGCTTTCAATGATAACAAACAGCTGGCAGTGGCACGTATATTATAGGTTCGCCACCAGTGCTCTGGGGATTGTTTGAATAAACCTGTCTGTGAAGGCCGGTTCAGCTGGTCCAATTGAAGTTCTAATTTAGATTTAAACTAAATTGGATTGTCCGTGGTTGAAACTCAAAAAGCACGTTATTTTCTGTCTGTTAAGTAGAAAGTATGTGATTGCTTTTGGCATGAGGCCTCTGATGGTGATTTGAGAGGAAGATAACCACAGAGATTAAGGCAGAATTCTGCTTGATTAAAGTCCTGCTGTGTTCCCTGTCTAAATCAGTGTATGTATCTTACAGAAATTAATGTGCAAACACATATGTGTGTGCGTATTTTTATTTCCTCAGCCTAATCAGTAGACCATTCCTAAGCCTTGCCTTCACAAACTGCCCATTTAAGACTGGGTTGTTTATTTTTTTTTAATTTTACCAACCTCAAATCTGTAAGGTGATATTAGATCTGAAATTAGATTTCAGATCTGAGGTTAAATTTGAGAATCTTACATTTCTCTCTCCTTTGCCTTATCCCCCACTTTTTTCTTTTTTTAAGGAATTTTACCCAGTCCCACAGCCTGGCAGCTGCATGATTCAGAATATTCTACTTATTTACCCCATTCTGTCACCCTCACACCTATGTGTGAAATAGCATGAAAAATAGGGACTCAAACTTTTGTCTTAGAACAAATCCAAAGAGGCTGTTCTTCGCTTCCACGTTAGGCCACCATACATTAGGTCACCTGCTTATCCCAGCCAGTCTGGGGCTGCCAGGCATCCCATGTTTTCTTCCCAGCACTCCAACTGTGGCAACTTCCAGGCCTTCCATGCTGCACCAGCCTGACCAGTACTGGTAGGTAGCATCACTCCCTGGACCTGCCAAGACAGGCCTGGGTGTTTTCTTTTAAACATGCCATCTGGCTGCATGAGGAACACCCAATCCAGGGATTCAAAAGATCTCCCAGGAAATCTATCTTAGAGGAGATTGTCCTTCTATTTTTGTTGTGTTTCTTTTATTTTTCTTCTTAACAGTTCTGTGGCAGTTTGGTAGAAACATACATGCCACCCTCTGGGTCTTGTCTGGATGACTTTTGGCATGGCTGCCTTCCTTCATGACTGAGAGGGAAAATAGTAACTTCTGTCTCCATAAAAGCAATGAAACCACCTATTCCACCTACTCCGGTATCCTTTCCCCCTTTGCTGCTGTTGTTTTGTGTAGGAATTTATGATGTGCAGTGCTTCTACTGTCATGACTTTGTGATGATCATTCTTGCCACCACACTAAGATGCAGCCACACCTACCTGCACCCAGAGCAGCATGGCATATGTGTGACATAAGTAGGATGATCTGGGCTGCTCGCTTGGGTATAGGAGAGGTTTCATTATGGCATTGCTCAGCCAACAACTGTGACAGAGTTCTGTTATTTTCTTCCAATGAGCATTAGTATGTCAAAATTACTAGTAAAATAAAGCAAAATAATCCACAGAGTTTTCCATCTAAACACAGTGTGGTCATTTCAATATAGGAATACTAATTTCAAGACAGAAATTACATAAGCAACAAAAAGTATCTCTCCCCTATAAAATGATATAATACCAGGTTCTGTCACTATTTTGAAGTTAATAAGTACTCTTAAAGGTTATTATTATTGAGTAATTTACTGATATCACTTGATGTATATTAATGATAACATTATTGTATACAGACTTGTTATTGGTACTTTCAGTAGAAACATCCCTCATCTTTGGTTAAAATAAAAGAGGGAACTGTCAACTAGCTTTGTTTAAACAGTAAATTTAGAGAACTATGCTTTTACTATTTTTATGGATGCATGACACAGAAAGCTTTGTAATAGTTTTATATTCAATATACATTTAGCCAGCAAAAGCATATAAACACTTTGTAATTGAGAATTCTAAATTCTGTAAACATGGTCCTTAATGTGGACCAACATATACAGAATTCTCCACCTATAATCCTCAAGGTGAAATAACAACTACTAGCCGGGGATTTAGCTCAGTGGTTCTGCCACCTGCCTCGCAAGTGCAAGGACCCGAGTTCGATCCCTGGTACCAAAAAAACAAAAACAAAAGAAGTAACAACTACAGAATGAAATAAACATGCTTATTCTTGGGAAATTTTCTTGTCTTCCTTTGTACTTTCTCTTGACACCTTCAAGGTCAGTTCAAGAGTCAGTAGGAAGTAACAGTGGGGAAGAAAGGCATTTATCATCAGCTGCTGATCCACAGGCTCTGTCCTTTACCAACTCAGGAGTGCTGTTTAGACCCACAAAGCTAGTTTGGCTGTGCCTTGCCAAGCCACATTAAGCAGCTGTGTAAAATGAGTTTAAATGGCATGCATCAGAGTAAAATCTCTTTCACTGGGGCAGAAAATCAATGTTAGCTAACCAGCACGAGAGAATCAGATCTGTATTTCAGCCAGTAGCATCCAGATAGCTTCCTTAGAATACAACACCTCCTCCTTAATTAAAAAAATAATAAGAAAAGTGTTGGAATTATAAATCTTAGAAAGTGCACTTGGCAAAGGCTTGTCTCTGCAGTCCTTGCCTGTTGGCTGTGAATTTTGCTTTTCATGTCTGCAGGATTCTTTCTAAAAAAGAAAGAAAGAAAGATTTATTTATATTTTAAATCTTCCTTCTGTACCACTTTGCAGTACACATAGCCTCTTGTGCCTTTTTTTCTAAAGCAAAATTGAATACAAGAAAACACGTGTGTTACATGTTTTAGTGCTATGAGTTCAGAGATTTGATTTTCAACATGCTTTTGCTTTCCTTATGTAATAGCTCATTGCAGCAAACTTGTGTTGCTGGTTTTGTTTTTGCTTTCTTCCCCCACTGACAACTCTGTCAGTGAAAGTGAGATTGGTTATTTGAAAAGTCAGCTTTCAAAATGTCAGTTTCCCTTTTTGAAAGGAAGCAATGGTTTGGGCCTTTCAGGAGCTCAGTATTCAGATTGTCATAATGGCCTCTTCCTCATGTCAGAGTCCCAAAGGGCCTGGAGCCTGTGAAAAAATCAGAAAAGGACAAATTAATGATCAAGGTGGGGTGTGAGTGAAAGTGTGTGCTTGCAGTTAGAAGCAGAAAGATCAGTGTAAAAATGAAGAATTATGGCAGTGATGCTTCAGGCTTTCTCAGTTAAGTTGAATATAAAACAGTATAAAAGAAAAAACACACACGTTTAACTAGTTGGAAGCCATCTTATTAATTTTTTTTTAGGAGAGTTTCTATAGGGCCAGGAGTTTAGTTCAGTGTCACTGTGCCTGTCTCCCAAGCACAAGGTCCTGAGTTCAATCTCCAGTACCAAAAGAAAAAAAAAATAATAAGTGTTTCTATAAGTAACATCCATCTGCTATGTTGAATAAGTTAAAGAACATATGTATATATAGAGAGATTTTTTATTTTGAAAAATGAGTGAAGGAATTCTTCATTTTAGTTATGACAGGAGTTCAGTAGAAGATGTTGGCTCTCATTATTTAGGGCTAGATCATCTGTGTAATGATGCCCAGTCATTTGGAGTTGACGATTTATAAGTAATAGCTATACAGAACGGATATACTTTTCTTTTCTTTTTTTCCATTAAGTTTATTGGTACATTTTAGGTATACAGTACAGTTACATTTATCATTGGGATCTTGTACCTTTACATGATATATCTTGGTTCTTATTTTTTCCCCATTCCCCTGCCCTCCCTTCACCCCC